CTCTCTGATGCCAGTGAGAGTTCAGGGTGCCTGGCTCTCTTGGGCACTTTTGAAAATCTCATCCACTGTGCCAAGAAAGGGTTAATAAGTTAGGAATTAGAATCTACACTGCAGTGAAAGACCCACAGTTGGCCGGGATCAGCCGACTCGGGCTTGGGCTGTGGGGTATAAAATTGCAGTGTAGACTCAGGGCTCTGAGGCCCTGGGAGGGGCAGGGTCCCAGAACCAGGCTCCAGCCCAAGCCTGAATGTCTACACTGCATTTTTATAGCCCAGCGAGACAGTCAGCTGTCACAAGGCTTCTGTCACAGTGCAGACAGGCCTTAAAGATAACTATTTGTCCAAGAGAATCAAGTGAAGGACTTTTCTCCTCTGGATTACACTGCCCTTTCTTCACGGCGCTTCCGGAAACCAGTGCTGGAGCAACCTCTACGGACAGGGTAGATGGGGAGTTCATGCCAGCCTTTTGCTCTTCTCAGACACTTCATTCTGAAGCTGTTTTCTTTTTTCATAGCACATTCAGAAAAGAAACGCCTTAGGAAGCCGAGCAAACGGCTTTTGGAATATGCAGAAGAATATGATCAGATATTTGCACCTAAGAAAAAGTCAAAGAAGGGCCAGGAGCAATTGCAAAGGGTAGGTGAGAGCGTTGTGCTGCTAACTCCCGTTCTGTGGTTTTGCTCTCGGGCTCTGGTTTGTATCCCCGCAGTATGTTGTTTGTGTTCTCGCTGTGCATAGCAAGGGGCAGGTTAAACCCACTTCCATATGTATCTCTTGCTGCTGCTAGGTGAGTTCCCGGGAGAGGTCTGAGCTCAAGGGAGAGGAAAGGCTTCCAGCACGATGCAGTCGTGGAAGTGATCTCCGGAATGTGCAGCTGGAGCAGAACCCTCTGGTGTCAACTCCATCTTCCTCTTCAACCAAAGATGCTCCTCCAGTCCTTGAAGCAGAACATTTGCTGTTAGAAGAGCCAGTATCCCATTCCTCTGAGCCCACTGACCTACTCATAGATGGACATTCAGACTTGCCGGAGCTGATGTTATCTTCCCCTGATGTGTCTGAAGTTTCTGCTTGTTCTCTGGAGGCAGAGGAACGTTTCCTGAAATCAGGTAAGCGATATGCAACATGCCTCCCTTCTGAAACGCTTGAGTCCGCTTTGCGTCTAGCGGCAGGAATTCTGACTCAGAGCTGGGTTGGAAAGCTGAGGAACTGCTCTCTGATTTGTTTTGTTGAACTCAGTAATGTGGCTGTAAGCGAGCATGCATAAATTATAAACTTGGTAGCCAAATGAATCAGCTGCTCACTTCACCTTTCCTAGCATTGTCCATAACGTGATGTGCTCTCCGCATACTACGTGTTTATCCAAACCTGGGTATTCAGAACTCCCTCTTCTTCGTCAAGTGCTTGTTTCATGTCCATTCCAATCAAGTGTGTGCATGCCGCATGCACTACAGCCGGAAGATTTTCCCCCTAGCAGCATCTGTAGGGTCGGCCTGGGCGCTCCCTGGAGTCGCGCCTTCATGGTCCCCAATATAGGGCCCTGCCAACCGGCCACCCCCTGAGTTCCTTCTTCTAGTCAGTGACGGCTAGCTGGAACTTTCCTCGCTCCTGCTTCTGCAAGCGCCTTTAGCAGTGTCCTTCCTCCGTGTGCAGTAACCAGTGCCGACAGCGCACGAGTCGGCTCCTAGAAAGGAGACTAAGGGCTCCCGGCACCAACACAGCACTGAACATTAGACTTCTGGTAGGTGCTGATCTGTATCCCTGGTGCCCCAGAAGAAAAAGAGGCAGGAGAGAGGGCGCTCTCCCCCTCCTAAGCCTAAGGAGCCAACGGCAGGGGGGCTTCAGCCCTTCCAGCCTACTTTGGGCCCGGCAGCTCCCAGGGGCTCATCAACTCCTGGCCCACAAGGAGTCCAGTCGAGTCCGGCCTATTACCGTTCTCCGGACTGTCAAGGACGGGACATTCAACTCTCCTCCACTCCGGAGACTTTTTTGAGGCAGCGCAGGACCTTGTTTGCCTGACGGCTCCGCCTTCCCCAAGGAAGAGCGAGGCACCAGTATCAGCCAGGCTGCCTATCCCTCTAGGGGCAAGCCGGTGATGATGTCATGCTGCTCCCCATTTCCAGCACGCTACTCCCCAGCGCCGACCACCCACAGGGCGGAAAACGGCATCAGTTCCCAGAGGTTTGGCACCGCTCTTCGGCACCAGCCAGTACCACTCCTCTGTGGTCATCTTTTTCAGAGTCCTATCGTTCGGATAGGTCCAGCAGCAGGAGGTCTAGATCTTGGCGACACCATGCAGGCATTTCAGGCCGCAACGTCCACGGTTTTACCAGCCAAATGGACAGGACAGTTCCTGGAGGAGGAATAGGAGAGGCGGGAAGAGGCCACACCCATCCTCAGGCCAGAGCCCTGGCCAGACCAAGTCTTCTGCAGGCCAGAATCAGGCCTTTTGAAGGCGCGCATGAGGACGACTTACCAGATCGAGAACTGGATCTACCCCACCTTACCTTCTTGTCCTGACTATCCTCTTTCTACCGTGCATGGTCCTCGGACCGCTGGGTGCTCCGCACGGTAGAGAGGGGATACTCCATCCAATTCTGTGCCCTCTTGCCTTTCCACCCCCCTTCCCTGTCCCTCTTTAGGGAGCCCTCTCACGAGCAACTCCTTACACAGGAGATGCACTCGCTCCTTTCGCTAGGGGCAATGGAAGAGGTTCCTCAGGAGCAGAAGGGCGAGGGCTTCTATTCCCGGTACTTCCTAATACCGAAAGCCAAAGGAGGGCTCAGGCCTGTCCTAGATCTGCGAGAACTCAACAAGTTTGTGAAGAAACTCAAATTCCACATGGTATCTTTGGCCTCCATCATCTGCTCACTGGATCAAGGAGACTGGTATGCCGCCCTTGACTTGAAGGACGCGTACTTTCACATAGCGATAACTCCGTCCCACAGAAAATACCTCAGGTTTGTGGTGAACAACACCCACTACCAGTTCACAGTCCTCCCGTTTGGCCTGTCAGCGGCACCCCGAGTATTCACCAAGTGCGCGCAGGCGACGGGTACAGGTGTTCCCGTACCTCGATGACTGGCTGATCAAGGGCCACTCCAGGACTCAGATAGAGAAGCAAGTCGCCTTCATAAGAATGACATTTGACGAACTGGGCCCCCTACTGAACAAGAGAAAATCAAAGCTGTCCCCGGTTCAGAGGATAGGGTTTGTAGGGGCGGTGCTGGACTCAACACAGGCAAGGGCGTTCCTTTCTGAAGTGAGATTTCGAGTCCTCAGCGACATCATTCGAGGTCTCAGGCAGTTCCCCATCACCACAGCAAATAATTGCCCGAAACTTCTAGGACACAGGGCTGCGTGTAGCTATGTAGTACAGCATGCCAGACTTGACTTCGACCTCTTCAGTCATGGCTAGCGTCAATGTATCGGCCAGCCCAGGACAGTTTGGACAGGATCGTAACCCTGCCTTGCCTGGTACTCGACTCCCTCCTGTGGTGGTTCGACCCGCAGGTAGTATGTGCAGGGGGGTCCCCTTCACCAGCCCCCAGCCATCCCTCTTGCTAGTGACAGACATATCAGACTTTGGGCTTGGGGGCACATCTGGGAGAGCTCAGGACACAAGGCCTCTGGTCTCAGGCGGCTCTCGCTCTACACATCAATGTCAGGGAGCTGAGAGCGGCGTGCCTGGCATGCCCGACTTTCAGAGCCCACCTAGCAGGGAGATGTATATCACTCAGAACAGACAACGCCATGGCAATGTTTTATATCCACAAACGGGGGTGCACACTCCTCTCTCCTGTGCCAGGAAGCCCTCATGCTGTGGGACTTCTGTGTAGAGCGCTCAATACACCTGCAATCCTTGTACCTCCCTGGAATACAGAATGAGCTGGCGGACAGCCTCAGCAGGTTGTTCCACGGCCACGAGTGGTCCCTTCGCCCGGATGTTGTTAATTCAATCTTCCATCAGTGGGGCTTCCCCAAATAGATCTGTTCGCCACGCGACGCAGCAGGAGGTGTCAGCAATTCTGCTCCTTCCTGAGTCACTGCCCAGGCTCCATTGCAGATGTGTTTCTCTTCCCATTGGGAGACCGTCTCCTATACACTTTCCCGCCCGTCCCTCTCGTTCACGAGGTGCTCCTCAAGATTCGCAGGGACCGAGCTCTGGTGATATTGATAGCTCCAGCGTGGCCCCGCCAGCACTGGTACACATCACTCCTGGACATGTCCGTGGAAACCCCAGTCACCCTGCCACTCTTCCCGGACCTAATAATGCAGGATCACGGCCGCTCCAACATCCGAACCTCAAGTCGCTCCACCTCACCACGTGGAAGCTCCATGGCTGAACGCAGGGGAGCTCTCCTGCCCTGATCAAGTCAGACAAGTTCTCCTTGGCAGCAGGAAACCCTCCACGAGAGCCACCTACCTTGCCAAGTGGAAGAGATTTTCAGTCTGGTCGAAGCAGCACCTCCCGTCCCCGACGCTCACCTCAGTGCCACTTACACTGGACTATCTTCTCCCTCTCAAGCAGCAGGGGCTGTCAGTGTCGTCAGTAAGGGTTCACTTGGCCTCCATCTCCACCTTCCACCCAGGTGCAGAGGGCTGCTCGGTCTTTGCCAACCCATTGGTCAGCTGTTTCCGTAAAGGTCTCGACAGGCTATACCCACAGGTCCGACAGCCTATCCCGGCTTGGAACCTCAATCTGGTCCTTTCCAGGCTTACGGGATCGCCATTCGAGCCCTTGGTGGCGTGCTCCCTGCGCGCGCTCTCTCTCTCTCTCTCTCTCTCATACAAGGTGGCGTTTCTGGTAGCGATAACCTTAGCCAGGAGGTGTCTGAGCTCGGCCCTAACATCAGAGCCCCCTTACACTATGTTCCATAAGGACAAGGTTCAGCTCAGTTCTCACCTGGCTTTTCTCCCAAAGGTTGTCTCCCAGTTTCACCTCAACCAGGACATCTTCCTCCTTGTATTCGACGCTAAGCCGCACTCCAGCGCCAGGGAGCAGAGGCTTCACTCGTATGTCCACAGATCACCAGCCTTCTACATCGAGAGAACGAAGCCGTTCTGAAGGTCCGTCCAGTTATTCGTGGCGGTGGCGGACAAAATGAAAAGTCTTCCTGTCTCCTCTCAGCGTATCTCGTCATGGATCACGTCCTGCATTTGGGAGTGCTACGACTTGGCAAAGGTGCCTGCTTCTTCAAGCACCGTGCACTCCACCAGGGCTCAGGCCTCCTTAGCGGCATTCTTGGCACAGGTTCCCACCCAGGAAATCTGCAGAGCAGCGACGTGGTCCTCCATACACTCTTTCGCCACGCACTATCCAATCACCCAGCAGGCCAGAGATGAGCCGTGCTCCACTCAGTTGAAGACTCCGACCCCACCTCCTGAACTTAGGCTTGTGAGTCACTTGATTGGAATTGACATGAACAAGCACTCAAAGAAAAAACTCACCTTCTCGTAACTGTTCTTCGAGATGTGGTGTTCATGTCCATTCCAATACCCACCCTCCTACCCCTCTGTCGGAGCAGCTGGCAAGAAGGAACTGAGGGGGCAGTGGGTTGGCAGAGCTCTATATTGGACACCATGAAGGTGCGACTCCAGGGGGTGCCCAGGCCAACCCGATGGATGCTGCTAGCGGAAAAATCTTCCGGCTGGCGTGCACGCAGCGCGCACACACCTGATTGGAATGGACATGAACAACACCTCTCGAAGAACAACAGTTATGAGAAGATAAACGTTTTTTCTGATCATGTTTATCTCTGCATGGATGCTGCTTGCAACAGTTATATTCCTGTTAGTCTGAAAGTTTTTTGATGTCCCCAAAACATTTTGGATAAACAGGATCATAGTGTAGTTGCTGCATCTGTACGAAGCAGGTGCTTGAGTTAGACTTGATCTGTCCCCGTGATTGCAAGACCAGAACCACTGTAGCTATGGTCTGAAGAAACTGCCCCAAACACTTATACCAGCAACTGGACCCTCACTCACCTAAATGCACCAATACAGAATCAAATATAGAAGTACATAAAATGTAATTTTTGAAGCCATACCAACCTGATGGTAATATGTGAACACATAACAGTACAGACAGCTGGTGTTCCGGATGGAGGTGGAGATACGTGGGTGGTGGAAGGGAACTCGCTGAGGTGGAGAAGGGGACTGGTGAGGGGTGGTCAGTGGGCTGTTGAATGATGTAGCTGTTGATTGCCTGGCTGTCTCTAAGTTGCGTTGCTGGCGTGTGCTGTCTGACCTGACAGCTCCAATTTTTCTGTGAGTTTGATGTTGTTTAAACATCAGTATTGTGGTAAAACCTAAAGAGCACAGCCAGGTTGAGGTGTGTAACGCTGGGTGCTCCACACATGTAAAATACCTAATAGTCACTGCCTCAGAGAGCCTACAGTCTGAGACACAAGGGGTAGCAGGCAGATGAGGTTTTAAATGTCAGTTGGTATCTGATAATGGATTTTGTTAGTCTGAATCCAGTTAAAGAAATTGTATTTTTCCTAACTAGAACTTTATTGCAGGGAACTTGAAGAGGAAGCGTCAGAGGAAGCCAACTAAGAAGCTCTTGGAATCCAATGATTTGGATGCTGTGTTTATGCCAAAGAAGGAGGGGTGGACTCCTCCAAAGAAGGTACATTCCTTCCAGTGGACCCTGAATGCTAGCTGGCAATTAAATACCAGACACCAGATTGTGTCTCTAGCTGGCTGCAGATATGAACTATGATGTAATAATGTGGATCTCAGGCTCTTGGGGTAGCAGTATGTCCTCGGCTACAGTGACAGCTCATGATTTTTAGGAAATGCTCAGTGCAAATCGATTCAGAACATGTTATACAAAATCTCCTTATAAATTCATCCCAACTAGCATCGCTTCCCGACAGTACTAACAAAAACCTGCCAGCACCAGGTCATATGAGCCCTGTGCTGAGTCGCCAGATTTTGGTCTGCGTATTACGGTGAATAAAACAATTGAAGTTAGATAAGGAGGGAAACAACTTTGCTTCTTATGGGGACTGGATAGTTTCTGCTGTGAAACATCCCTCTCCTTTAATTTGCATTGGCAAAGGAAATTCCAGGAGCTCAGCAGGACACCCAGGTGGAAGTGCTCTACAGTAGACTTCCGGTTGGAGAGCAGGGAGTCTCCATGCATTCTATTCTGTTGCTGCTTGATCTTGATCCTGAGGTCCTTGCCCCAAAATTTTCATATACCAAATTTTCTCTGAAGTGAGGATGACATTTCTCTCATTACCCTCCTCTGTGAGCTGGTGAACATCAGACTGTGTCTGAGCTGGGTCTCCTCAAACCTGTACTTTAAATTGATGGGGTTTCCCATGGTATGAAATATTCAAATTGCTCTCTCTGGCATTGGATTCTGATGTTTAAAGGAGAATCACCCATTGGTCTCTAATGTTCACCAGGCAACATGATTTCAAAAACTGAGATAAAAAGACTCCGACTTTAAGGGCAGAAGGGACCATCATGATCATCTAGTCTGACCTCCTGCACATGGCAGACCACCGAACCTCCCCACCCACTCCTGTAATAAACCCCTAAACTGTGGCTGAGTTACTGACGTCCTCAAATCATGATTTAAAGACTTCAAGTGACAGAGAATCCACCGAAACCGGCGAGTGACCCATGCCCCATGCTGCAGCGGAAGGCGAAAAACCTCCCATGGTCTCTGCCAATCTGACCTGGTGCAAAATTCCTTCTCAACCCAAAATATGGTGATCAGTGGGGTAGAACCACCAGCCTGACACTTGGGAAGGAATTGTGTGTAGTAACTCAGAGCCTTCCTCTTCTAGTGCCCCAACTCCGGCCTTTGGAGATGTTCACTAATAGCGGTCATGGATGAGCCATATGGCCTTACAGGCAACCCCAACATAGCACCCCTTCTATAGCAAGCTCAATCTGGAAGCCTGTTAGTTTTTTTTGTCCCCACTGCTCCCCTGGGAAGGCTGTTCCAGAACTTCTCTCCTCTGATGGTTAAAAACCTTTATCTAATTTCAAGCCTAAATTTGTTGATGGCCAGTTTATATCCATTTGTTCTTGTGCCAGCAGTGGCCCTTAACTTAAATAACTCCTCTTCCTCCCTGGTGTTTATCCCTCTGATATATGTATCGAGAGGCACCAGATCTCCCCTAGACCTTCATTTGGTTAGGCTAAACAAGCCAAGCTCTGTGAGTCTCCTCTCATAAGGATCATTCTAGTAGCCCCTCTCTGCACCTGTTCCAGTTTGAATTCATCTTTCTTACACACAGGAGACCAGAATTGTGCATGCATTTTAGGTTTTGTGCCTACCCAAGAGCCCTTGCCAATTTTGGTGGGTTTATAATTACATTTTCCTGTTTCGAAAGATGTTTCTCTCTCCCTTGTTGCTGCGTGAAGTCCCCCAGACAATGGGATTGTTAATGTTAGTGGTGCGGTAGCACCATGAGATCAGTGCCCCATTGTCCTAACCCCTGTACGAATGTATGGCAAAGAGACAGGCTCTGTCCCAGTGAGCTCGCTGACTAAGTGTACGATGAGAGACAACAGGTGGATTCAACAAACAGACGGGGAGCATAAGGAACCAGTGAGATGACACTGGTCAGCATGATCAGCAGCAGCGAGAGCACTCCAGCTGCCCAGCCAGTGTTGACTTGCTATATGCAACGATTTGTCCGACACAAAGCAAATGAATTGAAAGTTGACAGGGTCCTGTTTTGCCTGATCTCTTTCGGGTCGTTGGAATCTGAGATATTACTTGTAACAGCAGTTCATAAAAATGTTCAGCTTGAGTTGCTCAGGAAAACACATCTCCTTGCTCGTATCTGAATGCAATTGGTAAATTGTTTCAATCTTGTTTATTCCCAGTGTTTTGATGCTGGCCCTCTGGAGAGTGACCTTTCTGAATTTTATGCCACACCCCAGTTTTTGGATCTCGGAGAAGGTAGGAAACACTAGGCATCTGCAATGAAGCAAGGAGCTCCGGGTGCCATTCCTGGGGTGGTGTGTGCCAGGGCTCTTGGCAAACCACGTTCGTTAGTGCCTGTGGCAGAAGAGCATGTGTGTGTGTAGCGCCCAGTCAGGGTCTACAGAGGGCATTTACCTCTCAGGAGAACTGAATGATTTGTTCAGAGTTGTGCCCCCCTCCCTCCAACCCCCCGCCTCCGTAAGCTCTGTAAAGTGTGAAATTGGTGAAGAGAGCACGGTACAGCTGTGAGTGGCACTCCGTATGCAGAGCACTGGCCTGGGTGGGGCTGGGGTTAGGTGGGTGCTTTCGGCTTGTTCAGATAGTGGTTTCTCAGTGCAGTTTTTTTCCTGAGGGTCCTGCCAAGTTGTTACTGATGATGAGTTTTTTTGGGTACTGAAATTTAGGGATTTCTGTCTCTCCTGAAAGCCAGGTTTGAAAGCCCTGTATTCGGGAAGGGAGGAGGCAGTGGGAATTTCCATGCCCCCCCTGAAGACGGTGGCCTGTGGCACCAGATTGGCTTTTTCTCTAGCACCTGTCACCATGCAGGTGCCAAGCCAGCACATTACACACTGCTGTGACTGAATACGGACCGTGGATATTGTGCGCTCAGTAATCGCTCTCACGCTGCCTGGGCAGCGACCGAAGGAGTAATGCCCTGGACTCCCAATTTGATTGCTTTCATTTATCAAAAGATGGCAGTGCATCTTCCCTTTCCTGTGGGCGGTGGAGACACAGAACACAAACACCTTTCATGGAAGGCAGCGTCTCTACTGCTCAGTGCCCTTGCAGGCCAAGGCCCAGTGTGGGATTCACACCCCTAGCCATTGGCCCAAAGTGAGGGTGTTACTGAGTGCGTCTCTTGTGGCTGTTGTGGGGGCCTTGTGCCACAGGGAGCCCTGCACCAGGCTCAGCGGGGGCCGGTCTGCCAGCAGAGAATTTTGCAGTTGTATTGCACTTTTTCCCTCCCTTGAGCCAAAGTCAAGGAAGTTTGAGTTGCAACACTTGGGGAAGAGGGACAATTGATCAGCATTTGGATTAATAACTTCAAAATCTCTAAACCTCTTGCAGTGCTTCCCTGCTGGGGTCTCAGCGAGAGCAGGAATGGCTTTGTTTGGTTTTGGCATGGCAGCAGAAAAACTCAATCTGAATCCCCATTTCCCAGGTCCGTGCCCCTGTGAGGGGCTGCAGGAACAAGTGGTGTCACCAGTACAGCCATTTGGGAATTGCATTCCAAGGCATTGCCTGCAGGCTTGTACTGGGCCTGGCCTCATTATCTGTTCGTGCAGTGGGACGAGTTCGGAGCTTCCCAGCCTGAGCTGCAGGATTCACTGCACTGCTCATGGCCAGGAGAACCGTTATTTCTCCATTGTCTTGACACGTGTCTCTCCCATCAGCTCCTGACAGACTCCCTGAGAAGCCGAGAAAGCGCAAGAGACAGCGATACTCCCCAGCCACAGCGCATTACAAGAAAGGAAGGAGTGACGATGCACTGGGGGAAGCTCCTGGTTCTGAGGTACTGCCAGTCCTCCTAGGTGTTGCAAACTTAATCAAGGAACCCTTTAACCTCCTCTCTCCTTCCTCAAAGTGTCGTCTGAAAAACAAACTCTGCAGCTTTGATTGGCTAGCTGGGAGAGAAGAGCGTTGCTCTGAGTTTAAACGGAATGTATCACTTCGAATTAGCAGTTGTTTTTTAAGGACCACTGAAGCTTGGGCTTAATTTGGGGGCTATTGCTCAGCTAATCTCACCGTGAGCGACAGTTCTAAGCAATGACAGCAGAATTTCATCGGTAGTTTTGCTTTGCCAGTTTGGAAGGATTTTCATTCAAATGAAAGGCCTTGGCTGCTGCCTCTGGGAATGCTGCCTTCTTGCTTATTGATAAGCCGTACGAACTTATCATACATTGCATTCGCCTTTCATCTGCGTTCTGCACTCCAGCATTAGCTGCAGAGTTGTGGAAGAGGGTCCTGAGAGCCATTTGCGAGGTCAGGGCTCTTGGTTGCTTTCTGGCAACCCCTTGTTATAATTCTGCCCCCAATCCAGAGGTCAGAGTTGGGGTGTTTCCCCTGCCCCCAGTGGGTCACTCCCTCTTTGAAAGCACCCTGCCAGAGACCGCTCATAACAGTATCTCTGACAGCCACATTTTGCCTTTTAGGAATGAGCCAGGTCTCACCAAGACGTGACCTGGGAGAGGAGGGACACCTCTGGGCCTCCCACTTCAAATGGCACAACGTGAACAGCACCCAGTGCTCTCAGGATGTATGTCAGGAGCCAGTTGTCGGCATTTCTTATCACTCTGTTGCTGTAATGGCTCCCAGTGGTTCATAGCTGTTCACCCGAGCAAGGCTAACCACGTGGCAGTCCCCCCTGTGCAGTGCTAGTGGAGCTGGCAAGCACAGGTGTGCAGGTAGCCTTCCCACCTCTTCCTCGCCGGGCCCCAGTCATGGCAGCGGTGGCCTTTCTGCGGTAGTTTCTGCTGGCCTGGGAACAAGTTTTCTGAGGCCCTGTACAGCTCATTGGGCGCGGTTTCCTGCCAGCTTCCACTTGCTTGTGATTGCTGTGTGTTCTAGCACGCCAGTTTCAGAGCAGGTCTCCTAGCAGCCATGGTGCCATCTGGCCTCAGAGAGATGTCTGGACACTTGCGAGTATCTAGGGTGACAAGGAGATCCCATCACAGCTGAACTCTGTAATTCAGAGTGCCCTGGACTGTGAGTGGGTGTCCAGATGGCTTGCCAGCAGGGTAGCCCTCACTTGGGTGCACAGTGTGGGGAGATGGACGCACCTGAAGGTCCAGTACAGCAAAGTGTGGAAGAATAACAGCTGCTCTGGGGCAGAGGAAACCTGCCCCTTTCGTGCAAGACTGTATTTTCTGCACTCGCCCGCCTGTGAAACCTGACGCACTGGTGGACAGCGCCAGGCAGGGCGGGGTGACAGCGCTGGCGTGGGCAAGTCCAGGATATGCCTAGGCTCCCCAGGACTCTTCAGTGAATCGTAGGCTGCAGAGACCGCGGCAGAAGGTTCAGGAAGAGAGGCCTGCCCTTTGCACGAGGTACGTGGGTGTTCTTTATTTTCACTGACCAGGGCTGGTTTGGCAGACTCGGGGCGGCAGCAATGTGTCTGGTTCTTATGAGAAATGTTCAGTTGCAAACTCATGAGAGCAGAAGTCTCCCTCCCACTGTGCACATGGCGACTTCCTACTCCACCCCCTGCCCAGCTGGGTCCACTCCAGCAGGTTCAGCCACCCCTTCTACATTTGGCTGTGTGGAGCATTGTTCCAAGCCAGAGCAGAAGTCCCAGGCCCTCAGTGTACAGTGACTGGCTTAGCCATGCATGTGCCTGGACTCAAAAGGGCAGTCAAGCAGGATGGGTTTTTCGGTCAAACCCTGAAATACACAAGATGTCCTGGCAGGAGCATTCTACTGCAGTAAACCACACCGGGGGCAGCATGGCCCCACACACAGGCTACATTGTCTCTGTTGGCCCCACACCAAAGCAGTGCACTATTTATCTGTTCTTGTCTAGCTGCACACCTATTTCGTTCTGCTTTCCACTGAAAGCATGAAATGCAGGCATAAGCATTATAGATAGCAAACTGCTCGAGGTCAGCCATGAGCAGCAGGTTTGGAGTGATGGCCCTATCTAAAGCCC